TAGGCGTTAATCTATTTTGAATAGGCGAGTAGTACTTTGGGAGAAGGCTATGAGAGCAATTGTTCGATTAATTAGTAATCATGAGTGAATTGTATGAAAGGGAGAGTTAACTAGAATACAATAGGATTGGTGAATCGATCACAACCCTGGAATATTTGTCTCTACTAAATACACCACAATTATTTTGCTATTTGATAATTTAGTTACTCCTTCGAATTATAGTTTAGTATAATCACATTCTTGAACTCGATTTTGGCTTGACTGAATAATAATCTTGGTGATTTTAGTGGGTAGTTGATACAAGTCTCTGTGGGTTCAATACTCGACATATCATTTTATTACTTGTACGACCACGTATACTTGCGTGTGCGTTTGGGAGTAACAAGTTTTTGGAGCCGTTGCCGGGGACTTGAATATCGACTACTTTCTAGTTTTTGCTTTAATTGTTTATTTCGTCAACTCTAACATTACTTGATTGTTGCTATGATCTCAGGAACTTCGATTGAATGCGCAGGGTCAGAAGCCAGGACAGACTTAAAGGCTTTGACCCCGAACATGAGAGAACATTTCATAGGAGGTTGAGGGAAGCAAGGGATACAAATAATCTTCAGGCACTCGTTCAATTTCCTGTGAACATGGCAGAGGAGCAACACATGGCTTTTCAGGAGGTGGCGATGCCCAGTATTGCTAATGTCACCTCCAGCATTGTGAAGCCCAGAATCACTGGGCACTTTGAGCTGAAACAAAGCATGATCCAGATAATTCATGCGAATGGGCAGTTTATGGGTCTTCCACACGAGGATCCACAACAGCATATCCTGAACTTCTTGGAGATTAGTGATACTTACATCACTAACAGGGTCACTCCAGACTATGTGAGGCTCACACTTTTTCCATTCTCTCTGTTGGGCGAAGCAAAGCGATGTCTGAAGGCAGAACCAGCTAATTCTATTACATCATGGAATGATATGGCAAGGAAATTTCTGGCAAGGTTCTTCCCTTCAGGAAAAACTGCAAAGATCAGAAGTGAGATAGTCACCTTCAAACAGAAAGTAGGGGAGTCTCTATATTCAGCTTGGGAGAGGTTCAAGGGGATGCTCAGAGATTGTCCTCATCATAATCAGACAAACGAAGTGTTAGCTCACACTTCCATAGAAGGACTACATCCTGAGACAAAAATTGTGGTAGATGCTGGAACTGGAGGTCAAGTGTTGGAGAAAAGCTTTGACGAGATATATGCATTATTGAATAAATTCTCCAAAAGCAATCTGGAATGGTAAGGAGAAATGGGCAAACACACAGTACAAAAATCTGCAGGGATTCTCGAGTTAGATGTCGTCTCGGCATTATCAACGCATATTTCTACACTGACCAACCAAGTCAATCAGATGACCTTGGTTATTAACAAGGAACAAGCTCAACCAGTGCAACAGGTTCAAATGTTTTGTGAAGTATGTGGAGAGGGTCACACGAGCGACTTATGCCCAGTTAATCCAGAGTGTGTCTGCTTTGTGGGTAATGCAAATAGGGGCCAGACAAACCAATATGGGAACACTTACAATCCCAACTGGAGGAACCACCCAAACTTCTCTTGGAGTGGAAACCAAGGTGCTCAAAATCAATACCGACCACAAGCACCTCAACAATAATATAGACCACCCCAGGCCGAACAACATGCAAACTCAACAAGTCACATTGAGGAAATGATGAAGAAATTGATGGCTAACCACAAGCCCAAGCCGCAGTAATGAGAAATTTGGAGCTCCAAATGGGACAGCTGGCTAGTGCCCAAAATACTCGACCAGTTGGAGCTCTTCCAAGTGTCACTGAGGCTAATCCTAAGGCATCTATTAATGCTGTCTCATTGAGGAATAGGAGACAATTAGAAGAAGTCCAATCGAAAAAGAGAAAACAAGTGACCTTTAATGAGAAGCCGACCACTATAGAGTCAGAATCAGAAAAATCAAAGGAGTCTGAGAAGCCAACTGAAGAGGCGGTGGCTAAGAAACCCCCACCATTAGTTGCGAGGCCACTGCCTCCGTTCCCTCAAAGATTGCAGAAAGTGAAGGATAATGCCGCGTATAAAAAGTTTCTTGATATTTTGAAGCATGTGCAAATAAATATTCCACTGGTAGACATCCTGCAAGAAGTTCCCAAATATGCAAAATACATCAAGGACATAATGGCAAATAAAAAGAGGCTGACTGAATTCGAGACTGTGGCACTCACTGAGGAATGTAGCTCTAGAATCCAAAGCAAGCTATCTCAGAAATTGAAAGATCCAGGTAGTTTCACTATCCAAATCTCGATTGGTAAGCATGCAGTCGGGCGAGCTTTGTGTGATCTTGGAGCGAGCATCAATCTGATGCCGCTATCTGTGTTCAGAAAGTTGGGTCTGGGTGAGCTGCGCCCAACAGCAATAATCTTACAGTTGGCTGACCGCTCCCTTGCTCATCCGGAAGGAGTGATTGAAGATGTGTTAGTTCAAGTGGGTTCTTTCATATTCCCTGCTGATTTCATTATCTTGGACTACGAGCCTGATCAGGAAGTCCCATTTATTTTGGGGCATCCATTCTTAGCCACATGCCGAGCTATTATTGATGTATGCGAAAGAAAGATGACGATGAGAGTAGGTGATCAAGTGGAGGTATTTAATGTGTACAAAGCACTCAGATTGCCAGCCCACTATGAAGAGCTATCCATGATTTCTGTAGTGGAAAGCAATGCTATGTCATTGGTGCCTTATATGGGCCCCATAGATCCTCTTGAACGAGCTTTGATTGGGAATGAAGAAGACATTGAAGATAAGATGATGGGCAAAATTTAACAAGTACTTGATACATCATGCAATTATGTCCATGGGTTTGGGAAGTTTGAGGAGTTGGGCAGGCCTGTTACTCTGACCCTTCCTAAGCCATCTATTGAGGAAGCTCCAAAGCTAGAATTAAAGCCCTTTCCAGCACATTTGCGCTATGCTTATTTGGGGAGCTCTGAAACATTTCTAGTAATTATCTCGTCCAGCCTGACTAATGTATAAGAAGAAAAATTACTCGGAGTACTTCGCGAGCATAAAAAGGCTATAGGGTGGACAATTACTGACATCAAAGGAATCAGTCCATCATTTTGCATGCATAAAATTTTTCTGGAAGATGGACACCGCCCCAGTGTTGAGCAGCAGAGGAGATTGAATCCTATCATGAAGAAAGTCGTGAAAAAGGAAGTATTTAAGTGGCTCGATGCAGGTATCATTTTTCCTATCTCTGATAGCAATTGGGTTAGCTCAGTTCAATGTGTGCCTAAAAAGGGAGGGATGACTGTGGTTGAGAATGAAAAAAATGATCTAATTCCTACTCGCACTGTGACAGGGTGGAGAGTTTGCATTGATTACAGAAGGCTCAACAAAGCAACCTGCAAGGACCACTTCCCACTTCCATTCATTGACCAAATATTGGACATATTGGCGGGGTATGATTATTATTGCTTCCTTGATGGTTATTCGGGGTACAACCAGATCGTCATATGCCCAGAGGATCAGGAAAAGACAACTTTTACTTGTCCTTATGGCACTTTCTCCTTCAAGCGAATGCCGTTTGGTCTTTGTAATGCACCAGCTACTTTTCAAAGATGTATGATGGCTATTTTCACCGATATGGTGGAAAAATTTGTGGAAATTTTTATGGATGATTTTTCAGTCTTTGGGTCTTCTTATGATGATTGTTTGAAGAATTTGAGCAAGGTGTTAGCCTGTTGTGAAGAAACAAATCTGGTATTGAATTGGGAAAAGTGCCATTTTATGGTGCAGGAAGGCATCGTGTTGGGTCACAAAGTGTCTAGGAGCGGCATTGAAGTTGATAAGGCGAAGGTGGATGCGATTGAAAAATTACCTCCACCCATTTCTGTGAAGGGTGTCCGGAGTTTCTTGGGACACGCAGGATTCTATCGATGCTTTATTAAAGATTTTTCTAAAATTGCTACTCCCTTGCGCAGGTTACTTGAAAAAGATGTGACTTTCAATTTTGACGACGCCTGCCTGAAAGCATTCAAAGAGCTCAAAACGAAGCTGGTGGTTGCCCCCATTATTGCCGCACCAGATTGGTCCTTACCATTTGAGCTTATGTGTGATGCAAATGACCATGCTATTGGGGCAATGCTAGGCCAGAGGAAGGACAAAATATTTTATTCCATCTACTATGCGAGTAAGACTCTTGATGACGTGCAACTGAATTACACCACCACTGAAAAAGAGTTGTCAGCTGTGGTGTGGGCCTTTGAGAAATTTCGGGCATACTTGGTGGGAACAAAAGTCATAGTCCATACCGATCATGTATCAATCGGGTATCTATTTACAAAGAAGGAATCTAAGGCTAGATTGATGCACTGGGTTTTGTTGTTGCAGGAATTTGGTGTGGAAATACGAGATCGAAAGGGCACAAAGAACCAATTAGCTGACCATCTATCAAGGCTGGAAAATCACGACCATGTGGAGGAGGGTGGCCAAATTAAAGAAGTATTTCCTGATGAGCAACTTTTTGCTATCACCCAAGACTATCCCCCATGGTACGCGGACTATGTGAATTATCTGGTGAGCAGGGTACTTCCTCCTGAAATTGAATCTGAAGCTAGAAGAGGTTTCTACATGATATGAACTTCTACTATTGGGATGAGCCATATTTGTACAAGCAGTGTGCTAACCAAATGATGAGGAGATGCATACCTGAAAAGGAGGTCGAACTAGTGTTGTATGATTGTCATGCATCACCCTATGGGGGCCATCATGGAGGCGATAGAACAACTGCAAAGGTATTACAATTCAGTTAATTTTGGCCAACATTATTCAAGGACGCCCATGCATTTGTTAAGAAGTGTGACCAGTGTCAGAGAACAGAAACAATCACAAAGAGGCATAAGATGCCTTTGAAGAACATCCTCGAGGTCGAGATTTTTGATGTGTGGGGGATAGATTTTATGGGACCATTCCCATTGTCCAGAGGAAACAAGTACATTTTGCTAGAAGTTGACTACGTGTCAAAATGGGTAGAGTCGATCGCATTGCCAACGAATGATGCCATGGTGGTAGTCGCGTTTGTAAAAAAGAACATATTTTCGAGATTCGGGATTCCACGTGCTTTGATTAGTGATTAAGGGACACACTTTTGTAATCAGTTGTTGAATAACCTTCTAGATAAATATGGAGTCCGCCATAGAGTTGCGACGACATATCATCCTCAAACAAGTGGACAAGTTGAGGTGTCTAATAGAGAAATAAAGCAAATCTTAGAGAAGACGGTGAGTGTGAATAGAAAAGATTGGGCTGCAAAGTTAGATGATGCCTTGTGGGCATATAGAGCTGCACACAAAACTCCAATTGGGGCGTCGCCGTATATGTTAGTTTATGGGAAGGCATGTCGCTTGCATGTTGAACTTGAACACAAAGCATATTGGGCCATTAAGAAGTTAAATATGGACCTTGAAGCCGCGGGCAAGAAAAGACTCTTGCAATTGAATGAGTTAGATGAGTTCAGACTGCACTCCTATAAAGATGCTAAGCTTTACAAAGAAAAGACAAAAAGATGGCATGACAAGCATATCAAACTGCGTCACTTCGAGCCAGGCCAACAAGTATTATTGTTCAATTCTAGACTAAAGCTATTTTCTGGGAAGTTAAAATCGAGATGGTCAGGCCCGTTTGAGGTAGTGAGAGTCACTCCTTATGGTGCAATTGAGCTGCGAGCTTTGAATGGTGAAAGAAAGTTTTTGGTGAATGGACACAGAGTAAAGCATTATTAGGGAGGAATAATTGATCGTGAGAAGACCAAGGTTGCACTCGCTAATGAGTAAGCAAGATTCTGAGTCGTGTCGCGACGTTAAATCAGGCGCTTGTTGGGAGGCAACCCATCTTTACTGCTTTCGTTTATTTCTATTTTTTTTTCTTATGATTGTTGTAGTATTTGTTTTTGTTTTGTAGGATTATAAGCATAGGAGGCAAAGCCATTGGAAGAGTGCAAAATCGAGTTACATGGTGAGAACTAAGTGTGGGGTGCCACACAAAGGACCATGCTTGAGGGAAGTCTGAGTACCCGTGAACCGCTATTGCTTCGGCCTTTGGCCTTTCATGGAGTTTCTTGTCCACCCTCATTATTGTTTTGCTTTATTTGTGCATTGGGGACACTGCACTCTTTTAAGTGTGGGGTGAGAGAATTCTCTAAATAATTAGTAATAGGATGTTAGAAAAATGTTAACTTCTTATTTTTGTTTTAGTAGTTGTGTAGTATTTTAGTAGCTATGAAAAAAAAACAAAAATCGGAAAAAAGTAGAAAAATTGGACTTCTCCTGACGATGGATCTCGTTCGACAGGTTTCTTGAGGGATTTAAGTTGAAAGAAAGAAAAGACAAAAAGATTTTCTTTTGTTGGGTAGTGTAATAATTCCCCCTTAGTTTTTCTTTGTGCCGCGGTTCTTTTTCAAGGGTTTTGTTTGAACCTGGTGTAGTTAGTTTTATTTTTTAGGAGTAGGAGCCACTGTGAGATGAATTAAATTGGAGCAATATCTCTTGACTTTGTTATGCCTTGAGAATAGTGAGTACTTTGGTTGTGACGCTTAGGCTCAGTTTTTGACTCTTGTATAAGTACCTTAAATTGCATGATCTTAAATTTGCTTAACTGCTTTGACTAGAGTGTCTTGATGAGTACGATCCTGAGTGAGTTATGTGCCATATGTGTGTGAGGTTTGTGTGTTATTCTGTGCATTGCATTTGATGTCTAGAACTTGCCCCGTGTATTTGCAAAACGAAATAGTAGCGTTGTTCAGTCTTGGAAGTGATATAAGCGTTTCTTTCTTGAGCCAAATATATATAGTTTACCAGCCTAATTGTTATGTATCGCAGTTAATCTTTTGAGCCTGTAATCCTATTTCTTTGGCAAGCACATCACAAGCCTTACCCATTTATTTGAATTAACCATCTATTTGAACCTTTTAACCTCTCATGAGCACTTGAATTGTTATGAACTTTGTAAAAGTTAAAGTGTGGGGTGGTTGGTTTGGCTTTTGAGTGGAACTAATGAAATAAGGAAAAAGGTGCACTGTTTTAAAAAAAATAATAAGAGCCACTTGAATTGAAAAAGAAAAGAAAAATATAGTTGTATTGTTGTGAAAAATATTCCTTAACAGTGGTGACTGTTGATGTAATTGTGCTTAAAGAAGTATGGAGTTATATACATTGATGTGAAGGTAGAGTTATGGTTTGACATAAGTGTGGGGTTTAAATGTTAAAGTGTGTGTATTAAAGTGCTTAGGGAGGTGTAGTCACTATTATATTCAAATGTATCCTATCCAACCCGCAGCCTACATTACAACCAATTAAAGTCCTACTTGATCCTAGACTGAATGAACTAGATTAATAGAGTAGTACACTACGGGCAAGCCTATGGTGCATATTTTATGGCATATGAATTTTATTTCTGAGAGTAAAGAATTCTTTCTATCTTGAGTTCCTAATTGTTCTTAAATTTTATTGTGTATGGAAAAACTCTCTTTTGTTATGTGAGGGCACTTGATTCATGAAGGAAAGGTAATGTCATTGACCTCTATGTTAGAGTAAGTGAGTGAATTGTGAATAATGCATGGTACTTGCGAGTCAAATTTTGAGGTGAAGATGTTACACTCTTGTACTTGGTCTATTTTAAAAATTCTTGGTGTGATGAGTTAGAAGAATTGTTTATAAAAGCTGTGTCTATATAAAGTGTAGTTTGATTGCTCGAGGACGAGCAATGTTTAAGTGTGGGGTAGTGATGTTTGGCTATAATTCCATATTTTTAGTGCATTACTTATC